TTTTATTTTATTTATCTTTTAGTTTTTTGGCGTTGGTTTCTTTTTTATTTATTTGCTTTTTTGATTTTAAAAATCTTATAAAATGTATGAGGTAATTAGATGCAATATATTGTAAAGCACGCTGAAAATTCCATACCTGTGCCACAAATACCGTTTGGAATAAAGCTGTTAATATTATTATTATTATTAAATCCAAAGTTATCAGAGTTCACATCCCATCGCATACCTAATGTGCGCTCAACTGGTAGAGTATCAACAGGTAAATCTCGTACACTAGGTGCCCTGTCTTCTGGAACTATATGCTTCAAAACGTCTAGGCTGTTTGAGACCAACTTAGTTAAACGAAAGCCAGCCTCAGCTAACACCTCAGCAATACTTGTTGCAAATTTAACTGCAGATTTATCATCGTCGAAGGAGGCTAAACAATCATCCACATAGAAGCAACTATCTATGACATCCAGCAAATCATTAGAACCGAATGTGGACACTGCCTTTCGTAGAGCAAAATTTGCACGAAACGGGAGGAAGTGGCACCAAATTGATGGACCGTCATCCTATATTCTGACACCTTACCACAAGGACAATCATCAAACCACAAGAACCTTAAGTGATTTCTGTCGCTCTCTGGCACATTCACTTGTAGGAACATTTCCTCTATATCCGCAGCGACGGCAATTGTAAACTTTCTGAATCTTAACAGCAGTCCAACTAATGAGCTCACGCAATCTGAGCCACTATACCAATTATCATTCAAAGAGACTCCTTCATGTTTCGCAGAACAATCGAACACCACACGGAGTTTATCTGGCTTTCTCGGGTTAAAGACGGGATGATGGGGCAAATACCACTTGCCTGGCTCGCTCTGATCAACTAGTCTTTCACTGTAACCCTTCATTACATGTCTGTCGACGACATCCTTATATTTGGTCCAGAGGTCTGCATCCGTCAGAAACTTCTTCTTTAAACCCATTAGTCTCTCAAGAGCAAATTCTATATTACAAACTAACTGTCTATCTTTAAATCTCCATGGTAGGTCAACGCTGAAACGCCCATTTTCGTATTTACAAGACTCCTCAACTATTTTAACTGCCTTTCAGTCTTCTACAAAACGACCCTTCTCTGGGACATCATAGTCACAAAACTCCTTGTTATACATATTTCTGATCATAGTCTCTAGTTTGTCCCCATTGTTTGCAACTAATGATGATATGTGGACTATGGGTATAGGTCATCCCACTGTCCACCCAACCGGTGTTCTCGTCGCGAACAGATCATCTCCACCTCCGAATCTCTCTTCTAATACTTTGTGAGCCTCTGGCACACTACATCCAATGAGTATTCTCACTCTACCATCTTGCAATGTTGGAAGAGGTATGTCACACAGGTATGGCTTACCGACAACTGTTTCACGACTAGGTACTATAGCTTCGCCGAGCTTCATACTTGAGGTAATGTAAGCAGTATCTACTTCTACGGTTTCCCCAGTAGTCAAGGATTCCTACTGAAATGACACTCGTCCACATACTATCGTTTTAGAAGAATTGAAAGTATTTAGAACCAAGGATTGCTTTGGGCCCTTAATACCCAAGCAGCCAGCTTAGCATCTATCAATGTAACGTCTGAACCATTATCCAACAATGCATAAGTCTCTACCGAAGATTTCGGTCCTTTCACCTTTACTGGTAATACCCCTAAATTAACTTGTGCGTTGTCAAAGGGTCTAAAGGTACTATTGCAATTAACCGAATTCCCCGGTTCGTTTACTGTCCTCAGAATTGGGTGCGTATCGGTTAAACGACTACTTCATTTGTCTGTCGCCTTACAATTCAACTTTGTATGCTCCATCTTTAAACAACTGAAACACAACCGCTTCTGTTTTGCCATTTTTAACCTTTCTACGGGAGACATAGCAATGAAGCGATTGCAATCACTCACTTGATGTGTGTTATGGCAAACAATACACTCATTCCTTCTCGTTGTGCCATGAGCCTTCACTACAAATGCTTTCTTTATATTCACTGGTTCCTTAGGTTCTACCTTAGAATGCAAAATGCTGGCGAATTTGTTCGTCGCTTGGTTGACACTCTCTTTCACCAGCCTCACAATATCACCGAATCCAGGCTCTAAACCATCTTCCTCTAGCCGGGAACTAACCTTTATGAACTTTCTTTGTAGACGAGTCGGTAATTTCTTGACAACTGCCTCAATCGCCTAACTTGAGTTTAACTCGTCTATATTGTTAAGATAAACGAGAGTATTTCTGTATACCATTAAATTATCCAAGAACTCTGCGAGTTCCTCGGGGTTGTCCCTTAACTGTGTTCCAATACCTTTGACGGTTTCAAAAATGCTACGAGATATCATTAATGGCTTTCCAAACCTTTGACGTAATATCTTTATGGCCTCAGTATATCCTTCATTTGGCGGCATGAACACACAGCACTGTTTGGCTCCTGAAGCAACTCCAGTGCAATACCTCATCAAATACATCAACTTCATTTCATCTTTTAATTCAAGCCCACTCAACATGACTTCAAACTCCTTTATAAACTGTGGATAGTCAGCTGGGTTTCCGTCAAAACACTAAGGCTCGTATTTAGGAAGCTTAATATTCCTATTATCCTTAGACGGCGAAACATTAATATCAAACTTATCATGCTTAACATCAAACACATTGTTACATGTAACAGACAAGTCAATATTACTTACTTTCCTGCTTGCTTCCAAGACGCTTTGTCCCTTCTTTGACCCAGGCATCATTGAACTCGACCGAAATTCCAGAAAAGTTCCAGATAATACTTGTCCAAAGAAGACTGGCAGGCACCAGGAAAGACGAACGGAAACTATCCAAACACTATCAGAAACTGTCAGCCAACTCTCATAAACTGTCAATGTCCAGCTCTTACTACGCTGGACCTCACGCTGTCCCTCGACGACTTTCAAAAGCACTTTGTACGAACAAAAGCGAAAACCAGACCACTGATTGACGACTAGAGAATCCTTTATTTCAACGCCAACATGTAACCAACAATAAGGTTAATACACAAGGTCTAAGAATAAATGATACAACAATAAATTATGATAATACTTCTGATAGTTTTTTTTATCTTCCCTGAACAGCGAACGATGAGAGGATGACTGCACTATCGATGACCCCCTTGAAAAATATGAAGGAGTTGGGTTTGAGCAAACAACCATGAATTGACCGTTCAATCTTCAACTACATTGACAGAAGTATTATCGTGATTTATTGTTATAAAATTTATTCTTAGACCTTGTGTGTAATAATCTTATTGTTGGTTACATGTTGGCGTAAGAATAAAGGATTCTCGAGCCGTCAATCTGTGTTCTGGTTTTTTCGCGTTGGTTATTACAAATTGTTTCTGAAAGTCTTCGAGGGACAGTGTGAGGTCTAGCGTAGTAAGAGCTGGGCATTGACAGTTTATGAGAGTTGGCTGACACAGGTAGTTATTGATATAAGAATAAAACTTGTGCACTGTGGTTGAGTGTAATTCCATTATTGCACAATGGAAGCAGCTATTTAGGCTTCTTGTACAGTTTCGACAGCGCTACCAGTTAGTTTCGACTGGAAAAAGCTCTCATGATTGATGTGAGGCCATCTGTCCTGCTACACCTGAGCTCTGATCTTATTCTCTGCTGATTATTTAGCCTGATGGCAAGGCTACCCACAATACCGCCCTCACTAGCGAAGGGAGAATTTAACACTTACAACAGCTGAAAGACGCATTCATTGACGATGATTTGGAGAGAGCGTAGAGACACAACACAACCACAACGAAGTTGTCGAGCCCTTGTCCCTAGAATATCCATCTGATGACCATCTTTTCCGATCCACACAGACAAATAAATTGATAGTCGGCAGTGAGACTGCCGTGGTTCGATTGGTCTAATCAACATTTTTGATCCCCTACACATGCATTGGAACAAGACCCGTTGAAGCTCGTCTGAAATCGTGGATACAGTGATACTGGTGGTTCACAACAAAATGAAAGTAAACCAACATAATGCAAATGGGGAGCCAACCATGGTAATTGGTAATAACTTTTTGTTAGGACTGGCTTAATGTGGATTATTTTCTTTGCCTTGGAAGGAATGTCATCTTTCAGCGGTGACATCTGATGCCTTTCATAGTTAGAATCAACGTGAATACGATTTTCTATTTCATAGATTTAAGGCCAGGACAACTAAAATCGTGAGATGATGCCTGCACTGGGTATGCCTGAAAGACCTTCAAAATAGTTCCGCACTGTATGTAGATGAACTCACATCGTTTCTAACGGCTCTTGGTACAGTCAATTTCAGAAACAGTGGTGAATCAGTTGTGATGTGTTGACGTAAACGGACTTTTTCTGAGTAAACTTAGAAGCAGTTAGTACCTGTTGTTGCCGCATGCTGCACTAAATTCAGACGCTGTTGTGATAAAATCGCAGACTATAAGCGCTTCAGTGACTAGGCCACAGAGTACCTAAGGCTATTAGAGTATTACAGGGCAAATTCGTAGGTAAAAAATTTACATCATGCTTGCAGAGGCTAGATACTAAAAGGACAGGAACAACACTTATGGTGAAGTCAGCGGTTAGAGACCAAACAATCGCAAACCCGTTGACAACTTTGGAAAACTGAAAAAAGAAGGAAGGTTAACAACAATATGTTCATTTAAAGCATTGAATGTTTATGTTAGGTTAGAAGTTTAAGTTGATGTTTAGATTATAGACAAGCAAGGGTTACTTTGACATACTCAGGAGGATATTAGGGCTGGTTAGTGTTAGGTTAATTCGGGTTACGGAAACATTGGAGTTATGGCTAGGTTAGAGACTAAATTTAATTTTTAACACAGTTTCTCGTTTGATGAGACTGCATATGCGCCCAGAAAACAGTCTTCTTTAGGTCTATTACTAACTCAAAGAATGAAAAGTTTTACGGGTTAAAATAATTCGGTTGAATGAACTTTAATAGACCTTGAAAAGCGCACACTTCAAATGGATTACGGCTATACTGTTTATCCGGATGAGTATTATGCAAATGCTGAGGAGGAAGAAGAAGAATGGGATCGACAGGCTTATCTGGACCCCATGTGGGAAATTCAGCAGAAGAAGGTATGTCTGAATAAACTGTTTATACATTACTCGTAAGACTTTCACCGCTTGGTGTAATTCATACTTAAGAAAAGTTCAAACTTCAATCGAAAACATAGAGGAAGACTTTGCTGATGGGCTAAAACTCATCCAGTTACTTGAAACATTGTCTGAGGAGTCCTTACCAAAACCAGACAGGGGAAAAATGCGTTTCCATAAGCTAGCAAATGTTAATAAGGCATTGGAATATATTGAAAGTAAAGGCGTTCAACTAGTATCAATTGGCGCTGAAGGTAATGCAACGTTCTGTATTGAGACACTGTAGAAATTGTGGATGGCAATATCAAAATGACTCTTGGGATGATTTGGACAATTATTCTAAGGTTTTGTATTCAGGATATCACTGTCGAAGGTAAGCGCGTACTGAATTTTACTAGTTTTGCTCCACACTGTGAAGCAAGAAGAATTTAAACCTTTGCATCAAAATGCAAGTATAAATGCCTTATCTCACCTGCTATTAGTTTCACCCTTCAAATAACTGGAATTCAGTAGATTATGTATTTCAAAAAGCACTAAGAGCATTTCTGAAGTGACCGGTCATTCCAAATTTAACTAACCGTATTTCGGATTCAGATGATAAAGGATAGTAAGCGCTTGTATTATGTGTTAATCGTTACAGGAGGTATCACTTTAGAGACCTAATTTATCCTTGAAAGGGTTTGTCGATGGACCTGATATCACTTGGTAGGGTAATTAGTTCCCGTCGTTGACCACCCTACGATAGGATCTAAATTCCACACGTATATTTTTCTAACGTGGTTTAAGCAATTTTTGCAATGACTTCGTTAAGATACCCTATAAGGACAAATTTTTTCAGGGAAGTTGACACTCAAATCACCTTTTATTATAAGATTTACCTCCTCTCATAATGAAAGTGGAAGATACCACCGACTAATTTAGTTTCCACTATTTGAACTATTTTCAAGATTCATAACTCTTTTGGAAATCATGGAGTAACTGCTTGCATTCAGTTTTATAAGTGAGGTCTGGCACTAGTTGGATAGAGTACTTTATGCAGAGACTCATTTAAGCGTTTAAAAGCCCTTTGAAGTGCTCATAGCATTCGGGGAACCTTGACTGTAGATGTGTTACAACAAGCAGTCGTTTTCAAATCATGGCTGACAATAATTCCTAAATCCTTCTATTGCTTAACATTTGGCAGTTCTGTATCCTTCAGGAAGTACGACGAGTATCACTTCCTGCGTAGGTGCGTTATCCCCCTTTTCTGGAGTGAATTTCCGAAACCCAGAAGTTAAACCTTTTAGTTAACTTACGTCTGTCTGTCTGGATTCAACATAGAACTTGGCACCGAAGTGTACCAGTTCGAGTTGCCACCTTCCAAATAGCACACAACGGTAGACAAGAAGATGAGTGAAGAGAATCAATAGAGTTTGACAAGTATAAGAGTGAAACAGAATGGGTAATGGTAGAAAGGAATATGAAAGATTACGGAGACTGAATACATCTGCGCCATTGATAACGATTTTGAGCCATGTCACCTATTGTCTCCAGCCATTGATTCGTAGAGTCCCGAGGCCCCCAACCCGGGAGTCTGCATCTCCCTACCTGACTCAGTTTAACTGTCAAGGATTTCATGGATTGATGCCATGTTTTTGTTTGGCCACCACTGGCTCTTCTCCAACCTTCACCTATATCAGCAAGCAATGCCCGTCGGGGGAGGCGGTGGTTAGGCATGCGCAGCACGTGACCTAGCCATCTTAGTCTATGTAACTTTATAGCCTCGTCGATTGATTTTCCCTGTTTGCCCAACACTACGCCTAACGTCAACATTACTTACCTTGTGAAACCACCTAACGTGAGACAGAGATCGCAGACATCTATGATCGAAAGCAGTCAACCTTTTCATGTCTTCAACTCGTATTGGCCATGTTTCAGAGCCATAGAGAAGGACGGAGCGAACTGATGAGCAGTACACACGTCCCTTGGTTGATAACCGGATGTCACGCCTACGCCAGAGATGGTGTAAGTCAGCGAAAGCAGCTCGAGCTTTTCGGATCCGTGCTGAGATTTCATCGCCAATCAGTCGGTTGGTGCTAATACAACTTCCCAAATAGGTGAAGTGGTCAACATGTTCTATCACTTCACTCCCTATCACTAAGTTAGGAGTTGACGTGGTCCAGTCCTGTAGCAGCATCTTACATTTTGTAGGGGCGAATCGCATGCCAAACATACGAAGATTGCTGCTCAAGGTGTTCAGAAGACTCTGCATTTTGTCAGCATCCTCCCCTAACAGGACTATGTCATCTGCATATTCTAAGTCCATAAGACTATTCCCTGGTAACAAGTCGATTCCTAAGTCATTACGTTCAGTTAAGGATACTTCCATCAGCATATCTATGATGAAGTTAAACAGAAATGGGGAAAGTGAACATCCCTGTCGGACACCACTGGTTGTTACCAATTCAGATGACAATTCCCCATAAGCCCTTACACGACTATATGAGTTTGAATAGAGTGCGTTAATTAGTGCAATGTACTTTCTTGGCACTCCCTTCACAGTCAGACATTGCCATAGTACCTTTCGATCCACGGAGTCGAAGGCCGCCTTCAAGTCAAGAAATATGACAATCACTGGACGCCGAAAAGTGTCTATGTTCTAGAATCTGTCGAAGAGTGAAGATATGATCTATGCACCCTCTACCTGGTCTAAAGCCTGCTTGATTTTCCCTTGTCTGTTCCTCCCGAGTTCTGCTTAGTCTATGCATGATTACTGAGCCTAGGATTTTAGAGACTATGTTCGTTAGGCTGATCCCCCTATGATTATCACACGAGGACTTGTTTTCCTTCTTGAATATCGGTATAATAAGTGACTTACCCCAGTCTGATGGCACTGTCTCTGATTCCCACACTTTGCCTAGTACCTCAGTTAATCTACAAACTAGTATGTCACCCCCATATTTAAACACCTCCGGAATAATTCCGTCGGGTCCTGCCGCTTTGCCTCGTTTCAAATTACTGATAGCTTTTGTGACCTCACTTACAGACGGCGGACCAGTGTCTATATCCCATTCGGGTGTGTTCTGGATGTCGGGGAGGTCCAGTGTGGCTGTAGGTAAGTTAAATTGTCCCTCAAAGTGTTCCTTCCAGCGTTCAAGGCGTCTATCCTGAGAGCTAATTAAGGAGCCATTTTTCTCAGAAATAGTCTCACTTATGATTTGCCTTCTCCCACCCGTTTCCCTGATGAGTCTAAAGAGTTGCCTAGTGTTACCTATCGCCGATGCTTTTTCCATCTCTTTTGCCTTTGTCAGCCACCACTGTTCACGGTCCGCACCACTGTTCACGTAGGTCATCATTATCACTAGTTTCCAGATCGTAATATTGTCCTCAAATAATAGTAAAGTAAAGAATGGATAAGCATTTTCAGCAATTTATTTGCGTATAGTAGCAACCATTAGATGCCCGAAATAGTGCCTTGTAGTACTCCACTCAACGCAAGTTTACACCTGGACAGTACACCATTCACCCTACACAGAAGGTAGTTCCTAAACCAATAATATAAGCATCGATCTTATCTAAACCGTTTTCATTTACATAGGAGACTTAAGTGTGACACCTGTTGCATGTTTCAATAGGACCAATAAAAAACTACGTCAAACTGCAGGTTAATGTCTCTGGCTTTCACTCACTTTTCCACGACCAACAGTAAACTTGTTAGCTAGGATTCTCCTTATCTGAATTCATGCTGTTCTTCTGCCAGTAAGCAAACAGGTAGTCCTTAGTGATTGTTTCTAATACCTTTAGTATAATATATGTCAAACTTGCAGGCCGGTAATTCGGTAGTAATTATAGGTTCTGTCTGAAGAGAGAGTTTATAACTTTATTCTTTCAATCCCTAGGTTACACAGCCTGAGCTACGGACATTTTAGAAATCTCCGTAAGCTACAGACTTATCCAACGTAATCTCGTTGCGAACAAAAGCGATCTGCTCAACCCCGGACGCCACGCTTCTTTGTAGTAGTCTCGTCAACTGGTCTTACATTGGTGGCACTTAATATCCTGGCTTTTGAGGTTTCTCATGTGTACTATTAGCAGATTTCTCACAGCCGTGTACCTCATTCGGGGTCCACTTCAGCTCCACTCTCACGGCGTTTCACACACCTTCATTGTGACTTTGGATGCTAGCCTATATATACATATATATATATATATATATATATAAACTTTCATCTATCCTACTAATACGCTGAGAAATCTGCACTATGTCTCACCAAAAAGCATTTAGAACTACGATAATCCCACATATTGTGTCAAATGATATATACTAATGAGGAGTGGATGACCGATGTAGCAAATAATTCGTTAATTCAGCTAAACTTTGACACTTTTCAGCTAGATGGTTTGAATTTACTGCAAAAGCATGTGATTATTTCTCCTGTGAACTTTTATTTGGGCGAAAATGCTATATATATATATATATATATATATACCTGTCCTTCCTTCACGTTCCCCAGCGAAACATAGGGCTTCAAGATAGTGGCTTGAAGTTTCTGAAGTAGTGTTTATTTTTACAGGATGAAGTTGCTAGCCTCATGCCCAACCTTTCCTCTTTACCAGCATTATTTCTGGCTCAGCGAGGTAAATGAGTGTGTCCATGGCCAGGGATCGAACCCCTGACCATGTGCATGGTCGGCGAGCGTCCTAACCGCTATGCCACCAACCCATATATACACTGTCGAAGGCTTTTTCAAAGTCGATGAAGTTGAGATAGAAAGGTGACTGCCATTCTAAGCTTTGTTCAATGATGATTCGTAAAGTGGCGATTTGATCAATACATGATTTGTTTCTCCTGAATCCAGCTTGTTCCGGTCGAAGTTTTTCATCTAGGGCTTGTTTGATTCTCTCCAGGATGATGCGGCTTAGTATTTTGCTTGGGATGGACAGGAGCATTATTCCGCTCTAGTTTTTGCATTGACTTAAGTCTCCTTCCTATTGTAGTTTGAATAAGTATCCTTTCTTCCAATCCTCGGGTACTTTACCGTCTTTCCACACCTTCTCCAGTAGTGGTGTCACCAAGTCCGCTGTTGTCTCTGGGTCCATTTTCAATGCTTCTGCTGGTATTCCATCTGGTCCTTCTGCATTTCCGGTTTTCAGCATCTTGATTGCATCCAGGACCTCTGACTTCGTCGGACGGTCGATGTTCACATATATACATATATAGGACCTTAACTTTTTACTGTTCATTTGAAACACTATCCTCCCTACCATTTTGCGAAATTCTGTAAATTTCGACTATATGTTACTTTTGCCTAAATTGATAGAATGTACTACTTTGAGCAGTACATATTTTTGTGTTAAAACAAGTGAATAATTTGTTTCGTCAGAAGACTTCGATCCAACCTATACATTCAGAAAGATAATGTGTGTAATCTCTCGCTACCCTCATAGCCGTTATTGTTTTGTTCTGTTGCATAAAATTTCATTCAATTTCGATATTCGCTGATTGAATTGAACTCACTATCAAGGTTCCGAATCTACTAAATTAAATTATTTTATCTATTTTATGATTTTACTTCTTTATTCACCCCTACCCTCCTGAACTCTACACCATAACATAAATTCACTCCATTGTTCTATCTTGTACTTCATCTCTAGTCCACCCGTGTTTTCAAGCGAAATCTGAACTCTGCCCCACTTTGTCTCATTACTGTATAGATAGTTGCTCTTTTAACACTAAATAATTGTCTACTTAAATCATCTTTGAAATTGTGTTGCCCGTATACTTGCTGTTTATAACCTGAAGTCATTGCGAAAGGTGTGTTCAAGAGATTTTGCAACATAATTGATTTATTTAGGATGTACGCAGTTGAACAGAATCCACAAAATAAAACGAGCTCGTATTGTCCTGCAAATGAGTTCGTTATTTCTTTATCGCAAAAAAAAACACTTTAAGTATAATTGTATCACTATTTAACCTAACCGAGTAATTTATGAAATGCATTATTAATTCATTTGTCTTTAAGGGACTCGGCATTTGAGCAGTCAGCCATTTAAAATTGTCAATGCTAAACATTTATTGAATTAGCGCCTTTTGTTTTTATTCCAGAGATGTCTGCTAAAGAAGGACTTTTACTCTGGTGTCAACGTAAAACCGCTCCATACAAAAATGTGAATGTACAAAACTTTCATAATAGGTCAGTTGGTTTTCGAATCACAGTTTACGTTATAAAAACAACTTATGTCTTTCTGATGCTGGTTCATCTAGTAGTCGTTTTACCATTAATTTGATAATTAGAGACTAGTTGAAGGATTAAACTTCAGTTCACTCCTTTCACAAATGGCCAGATATACTTCGTTTGAATTATATTAGTGAATTACCTTATCCTCAAAGCTTTTTAACTACCGAAAGTATTGGATCACTACATTCTGTAAAGATCCTCATTGATTTTTGTCGAAAGTCTGATCCAAAAATTTTGTACCGCTGTTGGTCTGACAAGGGTTACGTAACAGCGAAATTTATTGAGTTGGTAAATCCATATAGTTACATGAGAACAGGACGAATTACTTGGGATTAGACCAAGTGTAAATCTAAGCAAAAGAGATTTTTACTGTAGATATCACTGGGAACTTATTGAGAAATCTTTCAACGTCGTTCTATATTACGTGATTTTAAATACGTAGGTTCAGCTCATTGGTCTAGATAGTTCGCCTTATGTACAAAAATCAAAGGCTCGAACCTTTCATTTGTTAAAGATTATGTAGCCAAATAGCCAACATGACTGTCACTCAGTAGGTGTGGAAATTGCATGAATATACGCATAAATGGTAAGTTTTAGGTGGAAGAATGAAGACTTAAGTGATTATGAGTAGTGAAGACAGATATTTGTTCCTGTAAATCTCTTGGATACTCATTCTGGATGGTGGTATCAATCAGCTTTGGATTTATTTAAACAATATGTGAAATTATGTCTAACAGTTGAGAATGTGACATTTTGAGCAGACATATCTTTCACTGCTTATACACTTCAGGAGCTCAGTTCACACAGGCATCGATTTTCCCACTGATCAGAAATTCCTAAAATTCAGTTAAAGAACTTACAACAATAGTCAATACTGTTTCACTGTGTGATATATCTAATGAACAAACTAATATAGAATATCAGTTGGAGAACTGATGTCAGCTCATGATGAATTCCTCCATGCAATCAAACAAAATCCCTAGAAAACCAATACTTGAAAATTAATATAGAATAGTCATATTTGTTAATAAGGTTTCTTTGGCTTATGCAGTAACTATACTTTGCTTAAAGTTTCTGTTCTGGTATGTATGTTAAATATGATTGCCAAAAAGAAGTATGTTTTCTCACTACCATGACATAATGATATCTATTTAGTCACGGAAATTCATTTTTACTAAATTAAAAGAACCTTTATATGATACCACTTTTTTCAGATTTCGTTTATCTGTCATTGGTTGTATCTTTCATTGTGTGATAACTAGAGAAATTTGTAGGCAAGACATTAGTAGTTTATAGGTTCTGTCGCTATGTAATGTATATGAACAGCCACTCATAAGTACTTATCAAACACAAGGATTTCTATTTATTGTCCGGCGTTTAAAGGTTGAATAAGGTTCACGTTTTCTATCGTAACTTAGATGTTTTGTTAATATTGTCTGTCTGTTTTCGACATAGAACTTTGCACAAATGTGCGGAAGTTCAAGTCGCCACATTCCGTGTAGCACGCGAAGCAAGAGAAGAAAGTACAAGAAAAGCATAATAGAAACAGTGAGCAGAGGTGTGAGACAAAGGAGTAATAAAGAAATACAAAACAGTTTCATTGAAGATCATAAGTCACAGGGAGTGGATGCATCTGCGCCACTGAGAACGATTTTGAGCCATGTCACCAATTGTTTCCAACCATAGATTTTTACCGTCCCGAGGACCCCAGCCTGGAAGTCTACACCTTTCTACGTGGCTTAGACCAACTGTTGTGGATTTCATTGACTGATGCCAAGTTTTTGTTTGACCGCCGCTAGCTTTTTTCCAGCCTGACCCTATATCCGCTAACATAGCTCGTCGAGGGAGGCGATGGCTTGGCATACGTAACACATGTCCTAACCATCTCAGTCTTTGTAGCTTCACGACTTCGTCGATTGATTTCCCCTGTTTACCTAGAACTCTACGCCTAACCTCCATGTTGCTCACCTTATTATGCCACTTTACACGGGAAATAGAACGCAGGCACCTATGATCAAAGACAGCTAGTCTTTTCATGTCTTCCACTCTCAGTGGCCAGGTCTCACAACCATAAAGGAGGACGGAGCGGACTGATGAGCAGTACACCCGCCCTTTGGTCGATAGTCGAACATCTCGTCTACGCCAGAGTCGGCGTAAACTAACAAATGCGAAACGAGCCCCTTGTATTCGTGCTGAGATTTCGTCAGAGATCAGCCCGTTGGGGCTGATGGTACTTCCCAAATAAGTGAAGCGGTCAACGTGCTCTACCACTTCACTTCCTATTTTTAAACTAGGCGTCGATGTAGTCCAGTCCTGTAACATCATCTTGCATTTGGCGGGAGCGAATCGCATGCCAAACATTCGTAGATTGCGGCTCAAGGTGTTTAGAAGACTCTGCATTTCGTCAGCGTCTTCGCCTAGAAGGACTATATCGTCTGCATATTCCAAGTCAACGAGATTATTCCCCGGTAGCAAGTCAATCCCTGAGTCGCTGAAGTCACCTAGGGTTAAGTCCATTAACACATCTATGATGAAGTTGAATAGAAAAGGAGATAATGGGCATCCTTGACGGACACCACTGGTCGTCATCAGTTCAGATGACAGCTCGCCGTAAGCCCTCACCTGGCTGTATGAGTACGAGTAGAGTGCCTTAATCAGTGCAATATATTTTCTTGGAATTCCCTTTACAGCCAAGCATCTCCAGAGAACTTCCCGATCGACAGAGTCGAATGCTGCCTTTAGGTCAAGAAATATAATGACTGTTGGACGCCGGTAGGAATGCCTATGTTCTAGAATCTGTCGGAGGGTGAAGATATGATCAATACACCCTCTTCCTGGTCTAAAGCCTGCCTGGCTCTCTCGTGTTTGTGCTTCCCGAGCACCACTCAGTCTACGCATGATTATTGAGCCTAAGACTTTAGATACTATATTAGTCAAGCTAATCCCTCTGTGATTATCACAGGAAGACTTGTCTCCCTTCTTGTATATGGGGATAATCAGTGACTTACACCAACCCGATGGGACTTCTTCTGATTCCCAGACGCTGCCTAGTACCTCAGTTAATCCGGACAGTAAGCTGTCTCCACCGTACTTAAATACCTCTGGAGTCATTCCATCAGGTCCCGCTGCTTTGCCTAGTTTCAGATTGGTGACAGCTTTAGTAACCTCAGTTAGTGACGGAGGACCTGTGTCTATATCCCATTCAGGGAGGTGTTGGATGCTCGGAAGGTTGAGCGTGGCTGTGGGCAAATTAAACTGCTCCTCATAATGCTCTTTCCAACGATCCAGTCGTCTATCCTGGGAGCTAATTATAGTGCCATTTTTTTCCGAGATTGTCTCACTAATGATTTGTCTTCTCCCACCCGTTTCCCTGATGAGTCCAAAGAGTTGCCTGGTGTTGCCTATCCTCGAAGCTTTCTCCATCTCTTTGGCTTTTGTCGCCCACCACTGTTCACGGTCCTTGCGGAGACTTTTCGTAAGTTTCCTCTTGTGCAGCTTTCGCTCCTCATTGAATTCGGAGCTCGCCGGAATAAGTCTTCTAGCATCTATCAGTTCGGATGAGGCGGTGGAGATCCAGTGGTTTTTACTCACCTTTGGGTTTACCTTATTCACAGCTTTTACAGCTGTATCTATGGCTGCCTGGATATTTTTCCAAGCTTCTTCAGGGTGAGCACAGCTGTCGAACACAGATATGTGTTTAGCTAGTTCTTCCTCAAATACGGATTTAGTTTCCTGATCGAGCTGGGGACGTGATGGTTTTACCGCCAGCTGTTTCCTACGTCCGTTCAGTCGTAAGCACACCCGAGCGCGGACCAGTGCATGGTCGGTATCTACGCACGTGTTCCAGAAGGAGCGACAATCTCCTACCGACCCACGCCAACGATAGCTTATTGCTATGTGGTCTATTTGTGTCCAGCGTTGGTTTGATGAAGGGGGTCTCCAAGTCAAACAGTGTCTCTCCTTGTGTTTGAAGTTAGTGCTTACAAGAAACAAATGATTATCAGAGCAGAACTGTAGGAGACGGTCACCGTTGTCGGTTCGCTGGCACGGAGCTCCATAGGTGCCACCGACATCCTTCTCAGATTGACACAATTTCCCTACTTGAGCGTTAAAGTCACCAGCTAGAACGACTATGTCTGAGCGTTTAGCCTTTCGCACCAAACTAGACAGCTTTTGGTAGAACTCATCCTTCGTTTCATCTGAACTGCAGTCAGTGGGGGCGTAGGCGGAGATTACGAAAAGGCATCGGCGAGTAGTGCAGTCCTTCCTCCTTCTTACTGATCCGTTCAGGCGGACAGCACACATTCGGCTATCTACCGGGATCCAGTCAAGCAATGTCTTTTCTGCCCTAGTACTCAAAGCTATCCCTACGCCAGCTAATCCTCGTGAACTAGCTGTGGCATCTCCTGACACCCTCAAGGTGAATTTTGCAGATTCAACCTGTTGGCCAGGTGGGGTTAGGTGAATAACCACACTTGGGTCTTGTATGCGTGTTTCTGAAACACAGCATACATCAATGGCTCGTGATGCCAGGGTCTTGGCTAGTGATGCTTGTTGTCCTATTTGGCAAAGTGTCCTAACATTAAGAGCTCCTATATGAAATTGGTGGCGCGGCTTTAAGAGGCTGTCGGTGGTGGTTTTTTGGCTTCCATCGTTTTTAGTGGACGCAGAGTGGAGAGGAAGTGGAGAGCTATCAAGTCGAGGAGTTGCATCAGTGGAAGGAAGGCAAGATGATAGAGATGAAGATGAAGACAAAGATGAGTGAGTAATAGAGAGGTTTCGTGTGCATTTCGGATTGTGAGGGCGATTGTTACTTCCCGGCTGCCCACACCGTGGAAGTTGGTTGCGTGACCGCAGAGCCCAGGGGACAACTGCTTGAGGCCGGTCACACGCGGCCTGTTTTTGTTCGTTCTTTTTTGTTTGGTGTGTCTCAGTAGCATATTTATCACTCCTGCCCTGTGACACGGCAGCAGGAAGCGCGGTCGTTGTTAATCCGGGCCACGGCCGATCCGGCATGAAATTTTGTAATTTTGTATTGGACATGATGTTGGATTGGGTAGCTGCTTTTTGTTTAACCGCTATCCAAACAACCTGCCTGGCATGGTAGTACCTCAAGAGACATAAGTCTCAGCCAGTATAGCTTGAATAGATCATTGCGGTGTTCAAGCCCGACCACCACGTCAAGGTAGCAGCTTTCGGTCGGGTGTGTGTTTTGAACCCCTTAGTGTGGTGATTTGTGAATTGGTGAAGACTCCTGTTGAATTTTTTTTCATTAATTTTACAATATGACATTAGAAACAACTATCCTGTTCTCGAGTAATCGTCATTAACAGTATTGGTGTTTTTAAATACTACTGAAAAGAATATCCTCTTCAATAATTTCCTCTTCTACACAATTGTAGAGCCAGAAGACGAAATTATCGAAAAGAATATCCTTTTCGATAGTATTTAGAAACACCAATACGGCTAATGACGATTATTCTTGTTCTGCTTGTTTCGCGGTTCTCCGAAATTCTATGTGAGGATATATGTATATATATAAATATATATGTATTATATAGGCAAACAGTTTTTTTTGGTAAACGGACCATGTTGAAAAATAAGGGAGCATCTGTACTAATAATTAGAAGAATTAAAGATATCCATAATTGACTGCTAACAGATCAAAGTAAGTTATTCAAAAATCTTTTGGGATTTATTGGTCAGTCGCTTTCTGAATTGAAAATTGTAGAGTAAGAAAAGGATGGTAATGACAGTCGTGGAAAATACCCATCAAGACACTAAGAAGCACAGAAGCAGAAGCTCAGCAAAATTATCTTTTCGGTGTTTTCATCGGAACAGTCGGATTTATGCACATAAGTTCACATGGACACAATTATTATCTAATTCCACATAATAACGAATGAGATTAATGGTTATAATCTTCAACTTGAAGGTGTAGGTGTGTAAATAGAGATTACAAGGATCTTTAATAGTAATAATAATAGTAATAGCTTTATATTGTACAGCATTTATGTATTGTACAATACTTTCAACATACTTTATGATATTTTATCATCCAGGATCTTCAAATAAGATATCACGTGACAGTAGACCATGTGAAACACTTCTACCTGATGTGAAGCGAAAACCAAAAAATTATGACGTCTCTTCTATGTCTTCTTCGGTAAATGCATGTAATTTGGTTGGATGTCAATAAGATTATGTTCAGGAATCCATTCTGTAAACCAAGGACACCACCCATGAAAAGTTATCTCTTGCATTGCAATATGCCGCAACCCACGGTTACGTATTTTCTCACGATAACTAGAAACTTGCTAATCAGGAAGTTGTAGACATATTAAATACTCGCCAGAATACGAAACGTGATCATAGGTTATATTTTATCAGATTTAAATAAACTGACCGGGGAAAATATCTGTGAAATATTGATGGGAATTTTTTGGTAGCCCAAATTTAAGCAGGCCTCCAAGTCTTACCTTTGAAACAAAATTACACAGGGTTAGAAAATAGTTGAGTAATATGTAAAATAGTTTTTTAACGAAAACAGATGTGGACGGGATGAACATGGAAACAAATTAAAATAATAGTTTTTATACCAGAATGGGAAAAAGACGAAAGGAATGTAAACACAAGACTCAGGATTCAAACCGAATTAGATCCATGATAAATGTAGAGGGTGGACTAGTTTCTTTTGAACACATAACTCCGACTTTTCGATTCATATTACTTCAGTTTGTTTCCATTCCCATCCCATCCACATCTGTTTTCGTTAAAAACTAGTTTACATATTACTCAAATATTTTCTAATCCTGTGTAATTTTGTTTCAAAGATCCTTGTCGTGTCTGTTCACACACCTACACCTTCAAGTTAAATATTATTATAACCACTAATCTTATTCGTTATTACATGGAATTAAGTAATAATTGTATCTGAGTGAATTTATATATATAAATCCAACTGTACAGCTGTTGAGGACAAAGTCACCAAAACCTTTCCTGAAAATCACAATATCCGTCAATAATAAAAAAGATGAAAGTTATTGGAAGATACTGCATATAAACAAATAGAGAGATTTTATTTGCTTTATGTTTGAGCTTATTTATATTTATCCTGTTAAGTACTTTTGAGAATAATTCGTTGCATAATTATCTGGTAAACGTCATCTTACTGGTGTAAAATCCTCATGAATAATGATCCATATTTACTGCCTTTTATTATTTGACTTACTAGTAGTTTTTAGTAATAGTAGTAATGACGAAGAGAAACCTATATCATCAGTAAAGTTAGCATTAAAATTATTTTTACTTGACAAACCTTAAAGTTAAATTCGTTCATGTATATATGTATACAATATAGTTGGAAAGATGGATTGGCGTTTTGCGCTTTAATACATCGTCATCGACCAGATCTTATTGACTATTCGAAACTTTCAAAAGTAAGTCTTAGTATAATCTGTTTGCATGGCATGCAAAGCGTATACTGCATGATTTTCTTTCCGTATCCCAACGAAGATATGCCTAAATTAATTGCGTGAAGGATGCATTCAGTTGATATTAAAGACTGTCAAATGTTATGCCTCCAATCTTGTCTACAAACCAAGATTTTTAATCGCATACTTGTGTGCTTGAAAATTAGCTTTTGTCTTAATTTGTATAAATTGTTTGGTTTCTTTTGTAGGACAATCCAATACAGAATTTGAATTATGCTTTCGACGTAGCTGAAAAACACTTAGATATCCCACGAATGTTAGACGCGGAAGGTAAGTGGGATTGTAGTAAGTCATGTGAATTGATTATTTTGCTTCAAACTAGTGTTTCATAAAATAACAATCACTGTTAGATGCCACATGAATAGTCACTTGATTTTACTGAAAGAAAAATTCACTTAGCTGGTCATTTAGTGGTTATGGTTATTCCTTGTGTGTAGTGTTTTCTTCAGAGTTTTAGCATATGACCTACTGCAAAATTACCACTTATGGATGGATAAATCTATTGTGCTTTTCTCATGGGTACTTGTGCTAATAATGGAAATGCACTTTAAACTTTTTACTTTCACTTATAATGGTAGTGTTAGAGATATTAAAAGTTAAATCTCTCTATACCTTTCAAGAGTTCACACTTTAGATGTCATTCAAACTATCAGCCATTACATTAAGAGCTAAATGTAGTATGATAGCGAATATTTTAAAGTATCTAAGAGAAATAAAAACTTTGTTTCTAATCTTCTGTACGTATAATTGAGTTTCAATCGCTACGTTTTTGAAGACAAAACTCACTTCCTTCATTATTTAAAAATCTGTGAACAATATGTTGAAATAAAGAAATGTATGGACTAAAAGTGAACATATTGAGATGAAGTAAATAGGAATGGTGGCGGGGGGTAGTTGCACTGACAGCTGTATATCAAATAATCCTATGTAATGGTGACTGGTTCTTGTTGTTGAGTATTAATTAGTCATTGTTTCAGGATTTCATCATGAGCTGACATTAGTTAGAGAACCATTGGAAAACCTGGGAGTACTGGACAGCTGTTTCGTCCTAGTTTGGGACTCTTCAGCAGTACGCACCCCCGGGATTCGAACCCAGAACCTTCCGGTTACAAGGCGAGTCATTGTAACGGAAATTCGTATAAACTGTAGACTAACATCCTACAGTTCAAATGTTGTACACTATTATTTGATTATCCCCTTGGGTTCTGATTGGAACATAAGCCTTCAATAACACATCTCTATTTCATCTTATTCCCTACAGTTCACTTTGTCTGGCTCTGTGATTACCCATAAACCCTCATCTCCTCCTCGCATGATTCTCCTCGCGTCACAATCTGATTACCAACTCGTAGTCTCCTATTTGGATTCCACTCGAGGACCTAGCACGTGATGTCACTCAACCGTTTCTTCAGAGTGTGTCCGATCCATCTCTATTTCCTTCGGCATATTTTTGGGGCATTAGATTCTTGATTGATTGGTCAGTTGGTTGGTTACCAGAGTTCCTTGTTGCTAATCTTTTCTGGCCTTCCATCTGAGTGTTAGTGTGTAGCGAAAACAAGTGTTTATGAAACTGTGAAGTCTGCTATAAGTGCTTTTGGTGACGCAACAAGCCTGTGGACAACTCCCTGGACTTATTTAATTTACTTCCCCCAGTCAAACAGGACGTTTCTATACATTTCTAATTAGTTCGACTTGATCGTTAAGGTTTCTTAGTAAAGTAATCAACATTTTTAAATCATAATCTTCTTTCCCAGTTGTTTTCTAATATAAAAGTCAGAATCAATTCAACTATGAAACAATCATTAAGTTATGTTAGGAGTATTTGACTGTTATGAGATTATGTTCATAGTTTGAACACTTCAATTCATACTACTTTATGGTGGACATTTTTTATGGGATATCAGAGTATATTATTCTCGTGGGTCATTTTATTCATCAGTTTATTCCACCACCACAAAGTGAATTCCTACTGACAGAAACAATTATCACATCTAAACGATGTAATACGTATTCAGCATATTAACCAGCTTTATATCTGTCTCCTGTGATCTCTTATAAAGACCATTTTAGTTTCGTTTAAATGTGGTGTGCTTACCTTGTAAGACATATCAAACTGTCTTGAGTTGTACATGTTTGTCGCTTTATACAAATTTTAGTGGTCAATACAATCGGTAGCTTTTGCTTAAAATGATCCGATTTGGTTCACCCTTTGGATACAATCTTTCAAGGTTGTTAATATCAACGTGTTGTTTATCTACCTGCCATACACCGGAACAAGTACTACACAATTTATAAAAGTATAGTAATAAGCAAAATATCTCTTTAGCATTCAAATTCATATAGACATAAGTTGTTTTGAAGAAAAAGGGCTTCTTTTTCCTGACTTGAATTTTATCCAACCACTAGTTTCATTGGAATCGTCTTAGCGAAAGAGATACGACCTGATAAGGTTGTTTTAACTTCATAATTCCCTTACAGTTACTACTCCACTGGAGGTCGCTTCAGTGAACTCTGCACATGGACAGTATTTTTATCATTACCCTGAAATACGAAATTTTACAAGTTCCGAAGGATGCTCAGCAATATCCACTAACTCTCTTCCTTGCACGTAGTATCAAATTAGAAGGAAACATAATGCGTAGCACTGCTGTATCTCAGTACGGATACAGAAGACTCGTCTGGCATATGCCAACTTACATCATCTCAGGCGTAGACGGTATATCCAGCTGGCTGTCAAACAAAGGGCGTGTGTACTGCTTGGTATTCCGCTTCGTCCTCATTTATGGCCGTGAGACGTGGCCATTGAAAGTGGAAGACATGAAAAGCCTGTCTGGCTGTCTTTGATCACAGGTGTCTGCGTTCTATCTTCCGTGTTAAGTGGCATAATATGGTGAGCAGTATGGAGGGGAGACGTTGATTGCTAGGTAAGAGGGGAAATCAATCGACGAGGTTATGAAGTTACATCGATTGAGATGGCTAGGGCATGTGTTATGCATGCGTAACCTAGCCATCGCCTTCCTCGACGGACAATGTTAGCTGACATGGGATCGATGAGGTTGAAAAAGAACTAGTGGTGGTCAAACCAGGACATAGCCTCATCAGTCGATAAAATCCACAACAGGTATTTTAAGCCAGCCAATCACGTAGGGAGGTGTAGACTGGCTTCCTGGTTGGGGTGATAAAAACCAATGGAGGCTGGAGACAATTGATGCTATGGCTCAAACTCATCGTTCTTAGTGGCGCAGATGCATCCACTCCTTGTGATTTATGATATGCAATAAAATTCTATTGTTCTTCCATATCACTATTCTGTTTGCCTCGTATTTCTGTCTGTTATCTCCCTTTTGAACCTCTCTCTTCACTTGCTTGGTGTGCTACGTGGAGTGTGGCAACTCTAGCTGCTGCACATCTGTGCAAAGTTCTACGTTGAAACCAGTCAGTCAGTAGCAGTGCTGTGCACATTGGACTATAACTATGTTGTATACCTGATCAACAGATTTTAGTCAACACTTTTACAAACAAACGGGTACATCTGTTACCATCTGTTGACCATTTGGTAACTTGACAAGTGTTTATTAAAATAATGATTCACATTTACATGCAAAACATCAAAATTGTTTATAAGTTAATTCATTGATAGCTAAAAAAACCAATGAATTCGGTGGTATCTTTTATCGATGGGTAACATCTTCATAAAAGTTCTGTTATCATGTTGTTTGCCACCTGTATATATTTCAATGAGTCTAACTATAATGTCTTATGCTAAATTTCTTTATTCGGAAGCCATTTTAACCAGAAGAAATGTCCTGTATTGGTGGAATTGAAATAATTTACTAGTTCTGTTGTAATGAAACGATAAATGCAACTTTTCAGGTTTAGTTTTCCTTTCTTCTCAGAATACACATACACCTTCATTAGTTGTTGTTCTTATTTAGAAATATATATGTATTGATACATGTTACTTTTTTTAACATTTAATGTTTTAGACATGGTGAATACAGTAAGACCAGATGAACGATCTGTGATGACCTATGTTTCAGCCTATTATCATGCATTTGCTGGCGCACAAAAGGTAAACACCGGCAATTTGTTTCTTTTTATCCAGAAAATTCTTTAAATTTATTTATAAGCATATTATAATACATTTAAGAATGAAATCTTTTCTGTCGTTCTGTTGCACATCACTTTTGTATATCTACTTATTAAATATATACAGGAATTTTTCAGCGTAGTTTACTCTCTGGTGTCTCTGGCGTAGACGAGATGTTCGACTATCGACCAAAGGGCGGGTGTACTGCTCATCAGTCCGCTCCGTCCTCCTTTATGGTTGTGAGACCTGGCCACTGAGAATGGAAGACATGAAAAGATTAGCTGTCTTTGATCATAGGTGCCTGCGCTCTGTCTCCCGTGTGAAGTGGTATAATAAGGTGAGAAATATTGAGGTTAGACGTTGAGTTCTAGGTAAGGAGGGGAAATCAATCGACGAGGCTGTGAAGCTACATCGACTGAGATGGTTAGGACATGTGTTACGTATGCCTAGTCATCGCCTTCCTCGACGAGCAATGTTAGCTGATATAGGGTCAGGCTGGAAAAGAGCTAGCAAGGGTCAAACCAAAACATGGCACCAGTCAATGAAATCTACAACAGTTAGTTTAAGCCAGTCACGTAGGAAGGTGTAGACTTCCTGGTTGGGGTCCTCGGGACGGTAAAAATCAGTGGTTGGAAACAATTGGTGACATGGCTCAAAACCGTTCTCAGTGGCGCAGATGCATCCACTCCCTGTGACTTATGATTTCCAATGAAACTATATTGTTCTTCGTTATTACTATTCCTTTGTCTCACACCTCTGTTTACTGTCTCTAATATGCATTTCTTCTACTTTCTTCTCTTGCTTTGTGCGCTACATGGAGTGTGGCGACTTGAACTGATGCACATATGTGCCAAGGTCTGTGTCGAAAACAGACAGACAGACAGTTTACTCTCTAATTTGATTTACTGTTAGTTTATAGTAATTGAGAATAAAGTGTACAGCCGATTATCACATGTACTGGACTTTATATCTCGCGAAATATGTCGAGACATTTTATGTTTTTTTTGAGGTAAGCTCAAAAATATACTCGAAAAGAATATAAAAATGTCAAAAGTGAATTGTTAGTTAGAGGATGAGTATTTTGTTGGTTTTGCCAGTCATGTAAAAGCAAGAAAATCACTATCTAAGCATCATGACTTATTTTCGTCGGGCAGTTAAGGTATACTGGGGCGCTCATTTGCTTGGGATCTTCGGTTACATATTTATCTACTATGTTGATAAGTATACGTATTTGGCGTATGTCAAGTTTTGTTGCAGTCTGCTTGAAAGAGATGAAGCTTGAATGATATGGATATATAGGACCTGTAAGCATGAGATATCATTATTGTTAAAACAAAAGCTTCCAAATGACACAGTTAAGCAGTAATACAACACTATATAATAGCTTTAAGGGAAAGGTATTTTCGGTTGCATAATTGCACGTGATTCAACACAGTCTGACAGCATCTAATTTTAATAAAATCTGGTAAGTTTGTGGTGGTGTGATACAGACAGTGTGTCCCAACGGAATATTATTCTCATGTATTCTTACAGTTCAATACTGCATTAACAACAGAATACTATGTTCAAGCGTTGGTTTGTAGGGATTTGATTGGTCTACAGGATTTCATCATGAGCTGACATTAGTTAGAGAACTATGTATATTTGAACATTCGATTTCATACCGTTTCAAACCAAAATCACACACTCAGTGATTGGTTAACGAATATAAACTATATATATAATGTATACTGCAGAGACTCATTCCATTTGGTGTTAGAGAATATGAAGGGTAATTGCAACACTGATTTGCCCGCAGTGGTAATCGATGTAGGTTGGGGCTGGGAAAAATATAAGATTTCGACTGGAACCTGGAACGATAATCTATGGAGTTATGTTATGTAGGTGTGAGACGTGTAGGGAAAGTAAAACTGAAATGTTACGAGTCATTGCTTCTCAACACGAATTAATATTGTTCTTAGTGTTTCACTATCATAGGGAACCTACCTTCAACTGCTGAATAACTACTTTCACACTTTATATCGCCTGATGCGTTTTCGATGTAAAGTTGAACTTGTTTGCTGGATTTGTAACCATTTACATCGATATAGGTTTGCTATTTTGTTATCTTCAGAAATTGTTGTTTCTCCTTTTCATCTTTTTTATTCTGATATTTATTCATTTGTGCTGGGTTTTTCTTATTGTTTTATTTACTTAATGTGGTGGGTTAAAAGACTGCACACATGCATTAGTTTTTAAATGGATTTGTGTGTTAGCCCCAAGATCAAATTATTTCAGAGTTTTCGTTCTTAAGATAGGGATTCAAGTGAATATAACGTGCTGTACTCACTATGGTCAAAGTGGTGTACAGATAAGCTAGATAGCGCAATTTAGGCTGGCCTTTTGGTCTGTCAGTTGTCAAGGTTTAGAGGGTGATTTTTGATATGCCATAAAAACATGTGAAAGCACTACTAAATATTTATGTTATTTTATTGAGTTGTTATTTACTGAAACTGAAGTTAACAGGTAAAAGTATGCAGCTGTGGAATATTCACAGTTTATCTATAGGTCATGTGTCCGTCGATGGCATAGTGGTTAAGACGCTCGCCGGCCATGCACATGGTCCGTGGTTCGATCCTCAGCCACTGACGCACTCTTTTACCTCGCTAAGCCAGAAATAATGCTGGTAAAGAGGAAAGGTTGGACATGAGGCTAGCAACCCCATCCTGTAAAATAAACACTGCTACAGAAACTTCAAGCCACTAGCTTGAAGCTGTATGTTCCACTGGGGAACGCTAAGGAAAGAAAAAAATCTATGAGTCATGACATTTCATTTTCTCGTTGTTTTGAGTAATGGATAATTTACAAATTAGTTGGGATCATGTGGATCAATTCTCTCTTTTTTTAGCTAGCATTGGATCACACGATTCCTTTCATTATGTAAATACCTCTTAAGCTACAGAAGTCTTCATACCTTACTAGTCGAATATAGGATTTTCAGTTATAAATCTACGGTTAATAAACTTGGGTGGCCTACTTCCGATTGGTCGAGTCAGAAATATGTTGTTGCCTCGTGATATGAATTTTGTTTGCAATCTTATATGTGTTTTATTCATCAGTTCAAAGGGACGAATCAATAATGGATGTCGGAAAAGCTGTAGTTGCGCACTGTTCAACACATTGGTAATATAAAACTATATAAAAGAAGAGAAATAAGTCATAACTACCAAAAGCGTCTGTCATTTTCGCATTTTAACATATCTTAGAAAAATTGGATATACATTAAATTTTCAGGTCTTTGTACTATTATATTTTCTTAATAGTTGTCGATTCTGATGGATTTTAGTTCGATCTTACTAGCTGTTTATTTTTTAAAAGTATCCATATCACTGAGTGAATATTTTTATTTTTGAACTACTTAAATTTTGTAAGTGTTGCTTTGTGTTTGAAGTACGCAGATATGTTATCATACGAAAATGTGAATGTCTTTTTACCTGCCGAGACTTCTGTTATTAGTCGCCACACAATAAATGAGTATCAGTACGTAGCACGCGAATCCTGAGTTACTTGTTTCTGTATGCTACATAATTATTACAACGCAAATTCTGGATGAAATAAGATGAATCCATCATTGATTATTCTCTTTTTTGCCATTGCTGCTTAAACCTAATTGTTACTTTATATACGAGAAAGTTAAATCGTCGATAGTTGGCGTAAGCACTCAAGTTTTAACTGGGAGTTGTTGTCGGAATTTTACTTCATCTGTCTTGGTTTGGAGGAGCAGTTGTATTTTCACCTAGTGTACAGTTAATGTGACTTGAAAGTATGCGGAAACAACTAGTACGTTACTGAGTTGTGTATTTCAGCTTATTTCTCAGAATAAGGTTCTCAGTTCAAATATCTTAACTCTTACTTTGAAATTGTTTGCTAACAGGGTTCTCATTTAATTGTACACGAATTTACTAGAATTTTCAATATACAACACTGCTATTCGTAAGAGTATGATTTTAAGATGTAAAAGTGGATTCTTAGCTTACAAAGATTATATCAGCTGATTTTAAATTTTATTGAGTTTAATAAGTTTTCTTCTTAGTTAAGCTCAACTTCTTCCTTTTTATGCTTCTTTTAAAGCGTATGAGTTAATTTGTCAATATTGTATCTGTAAACATGAAAAAGGTGGAATCCATCTCAGAACAGAATGCTTTATTATGATATGTATATATGTACAGAAAATATCAGATGGGAGAATAAATGAATTGCTTAAGTTATTGTCGCTTTCAGCAAAAGAAACATATTTTTGGCGTATCTTACATCAAACAAATCTGTTTAATTAAGCATTTGAATTCAAAAGTACCTCAAAGAGCTGTAATTACTATGCTGGTGAACTAAGGAATTCGCCTTATGTTTTTTTTCACGTACATGTGTATTTAGGAATTACTGTAATAGTTTATTATTAGTAGTATCATGCTTACATATTTTCGTTGTATTAATTAAAAATAAACCTAATTTTTAATCGATGAAAAAGATAATTCAATTCTTGAGGGATATTCAGTGTATTTTTAAAGTACATGTATACATTGCCCAAAGCCTTTTTTTGTTTATCTGCTAGATAACATTTGGTTTAATTTCACTGCTAATCAACTTAAGTGAACCACAGCCTACATAGACTGTTTATATTAACTACGTTTATATACAAAATTCTAGATACGCATTACTGTCATGGTTATTCTAAAGGAAATCTAACCTACTGGGAAAGCTTATACTATGAAGATTTCTTGACAGAAAAGGAAATCTGTTTTGCATAATACTATGCGCACAAAATATGAAAAACCAATGCTACCAGTTTATGTATATATATATATATATAATTTTTCCTTTGGGTCCCTGGTGGAGCATGGGGCTTCAACAGCACATCACTTCGTCCTATTCTACGTGGTCCTCTTCAGATCCTCCCGATTACACATAACCTCTCATCTCTTCCTCACACGATCTTCTCCATGTCACACATGGACCACAGCTAAACTCGTCGTTTCCTAATCGGATTGATTCCACTCTAGCGATGGTCTGGCGTGCGATGTCACTCGATGTCTCATCAATGTGTGCCCATTCCATCTCCACTTACTTCGATATATTTTTTGAGCCAACGGCTCTTGGTTGGTTGGTTCTCAAAGTTTCTTGTTACTAATTCTTTCTGGCCATGTGGTCATCAGTATGGAAATCCTTTTTGTGACACTCCAAATGTGTGATCCGTATAGGAGGACTGACTTGACATTGGTGTTGAAAATCCGAATCTTGTTCTTTATGCTGACTGAGTGCAGATTTCCAGACTGATTTCAGGTTGATGAAAGCGTATCTTGCCTTTCCGATTCTGACTATCTTTGACATCTTCATCCGTTTCCCCTGTAATTGAAACGATGCTTCCTAACCAGATAAGCGAAGGAAGTAACCTCTGTTAAATCTCTCCCGTTGATGGTGGTTGGTGCTGGTTGTTGCTATTCGTTGGTTATCTTCATCACTTCCGTCTTCTCTATTTTCCTCTGCAGTCCTGTTTTCGCTGCCTCTCCAGCCAGTTTGCTGGTTTTGGCCTGCAAGTCTTTGAGTTTGTGTGACATTAGACATATATCATCCACATGCAAAATCCAGATCTTCTAGAGTCTTCTTATCGGTCGTCCAGTGTATTGCTGACTCCTTACCCCCAACAGTCTGATGCATAATCCAGTCCACCACAATTAAGAATAACATCGGTGATAATAGCCAGGCAGCCTTGTCTTACTCCTGTATGCACTTCGAACGCCTCGTTGAGTTTTCCGTTGTGGATCACCCGATATGTGGTATTGTCATATATCTGCCAATTAGTCTTTATTAATTACTTTAAAAAATATCTACCTATTCATTATTTTAGGCAGAGTCTGCGGCTAATCGGATTTCAAAAGTTTTAAAAACGAACCAAGATAACGAAAAACTAATGACAGAATATGAACAACTTGCTTCTGATTTATTGGCTTGGATACAGCAACAAATACCATTCTTAAAAGTGAGCAGTAATACTTTTCTTTCTTTTTGCTTTTTTATGATTCATTTTTAAATACTTGTTTTGGCGAATTTTAACTCATTATTACTGGTATTTCATCCACATTGGTTGAAACCTTCAACGTATGATTTTGAATTGAGTCCCCTATATAGCTTAAGATATGTATTTGTAGAGATTATTCATGTTTATTCATAAGGATAGAGGGAATTGCACTTCTGAGTAGAATTAAGTACCAGGTATTAGGCTTTATAGATTTACAAATAGGTACTGATTTAAACCTGAGAATCTGCTATCCTTTTTAGTTGTTAGTTTATATCACATTGAGGAAATATGTCCCTAACTGTTTGACACTTGATAAAATTTTTATTTAAATTCATTTAGATGTGTTTATCGTCTATACAAGTCGAAAAGTGTCACTGTTTCTCACTTTGCACTAGAATATCTTAAAACGAACTAAAATGAACTGTAAAAGATCTTTTCAGAAAATTAAAAAGGAGTCTTTAGATTTGTCAAGTTTTTCTCATAAAAATTACCCAATAATAATAATTCAACCTAAGCGAATCTACTCTTATATTGTAGACTAAATGATTTGCTCATTTCAATAAAAGGATAGAATGTTTTAATTGGGTGGTAAACATAGTATGTGACAAACAAAACATTCTGTGGATTAAAACATAAAGCATACTTGTGGCGTTGATTGGAGCATTGCGTTTTAACCCTTATTTTTTCTACTGGGATTACTAATATTACTTCGTTGCCTTAGATGAAATAGATTTTTTTTTAATACAATCGATCTAATTAAAGTTAGATACTTGGACCGTTCATGTTCACTAAACAGGATATATAGTCTTATATTTTAATGTCTCCATTGGCATGTAACCTGTAACTTCATGTGAGTGTTTCAGTTAGTAGTGCTTTAAATTCAAATCCATGTTGTTTACTGTGATGTAGACGTTTTTAGCTTAATATTATTCCTTTGAGTTCCGAGTAGAACATTTCGTCCGTTAGCCTACGGTTCACCTTTTCTGGCTCTGTGATTACCCATAAGCCTTCATCTCCTCCTCAGATGATTCTCCCCGTGTCACACTGATTACTAATTCGTCTCCTCCCTTTCGAGTTCCACTTGAGGACCTAGCATGTGATATCACTCGACAGTCTCCTCAGTGTGTGTCCGACCTATATCCATTTTCTTCGGCATATTGTTAGGCGTTAGGTTCTTGGTTGGTTAGTCGGTTGGTTACCAAAGTTCCTTGTTGCTAATCCTTTCTGCCTTCCATCTCATTTTTTTATTTTTTATTTACAGCTTGATTCCACACTGTATTTTTGGTACAAGTATGGAATTTTCAGAATGGATATCGGTAGCCCAAATTTTGCAGGCCGACCATAGATATCAGGTATGCGCCCGCGTGGGCTCGAACCCCGGACCATGTGCATGGTCGGCGAGAGTCCTAACCACTGTGCCACCGACGCACAGTGTGTGTAGCGAAAACAAGTGTTTATGAAACTGTGAAGCCTGCTAGAAATGCTTTGTGCCAAGTCCCTGGACCATACAGAGAAGCATTAGTATTGAGAATTCCAATATCTCCTCTCATGCTGAGTGCAGCAGATTCCCACATTAATTTCGGATTAATGAAGGTCTGTCTTGCTTAGGTATTTTATCATCAAGTTTTAAATATGAAAAAGTATGCATCTTAGTTTTCGCAGCTATCATTGTTCAGTTTGACTTATTCCTCAGTGATTCAAAATTTTGTTCAAATTGTATTAGATTTGGCGAAATTTGAAATGCAACTTTTCTTGTCTGTTACTCATAAACACTGAAATTACTAACATTTGTCCTTACGAGTTTGACTACGGATTGTTATCAGTTAGAAAACCATTGAAAACCAGGGAGTACTGGACAGCTGTTTCATCCTACTTCGGGAATCATTGGCAGTACGCACCCACCACCAGGGTTCGAACCCACGACCTTCTGGTTATAAGATGAGCTTGTATACCATTCAGCCATTAGAACCTGATTCAATGGCCAGTCTATGAATTCTAAATTCTACCAATTCGTGATTTAGCCTGACGAGTGAGGTCCATCCAGTCGAGTGCGAGGTTGGATGTCCCACCAATGACACTGGTTAGTGGTCGCGCTAAATCACGAATTGGTAGAAGTTAGAATTCATGGACAGGCCATTGAATCGGGTTCCAGTGGCTGAATGGTATACGAGCTTGTCTTGTGACCGGAAGGTTGTGGGTTCGAACCCTAGTGGGTAGGTGGGTATTGCCGATGATTCTCTAACTGATATCAATCCGTCTTCAAACTCGTAAAAACAAATTTAATCCTTACAAACCAACTCCTGAAAATTAACATTTATTGGTTGTAAATAAACGGAATTTAGATGGGAAGTTTCATTGAATATACTTTGACTTTTAGCCTAACTGAATGATTGTGAACCTAGTTGAGCTTTAAAGGATATTTTTGTTTAATTCAAGATGGTTGTTTATACTAAGCGAAAATACTGATTTATGATTATATTAACTCATGGACATTTGATATTTACTAGTGTTTGACGTCTAGTTGATTTTGTGTATCTGTATATCTACCATAACCTTTGTGTAGGATAAGTTTGTCAAATAACATTGAATTCACTTTTATTCATCAAAATATCTAATCACTCTTTGTTTATATTTCTGTTCATCTTAGGATAGAACAACTGATGGGACAATATCTGGTGCACGTTTAAAACTAGATCACTATGGTGGTTATCGAGCATTTGAAAAACCTCCGAGGCTAGAAGAAAAAACCCTGCTGGAAAATACCTACAACACACTACAAACACGATTACGGCTAGCGAATCGTCCTTCTTTTTTACCAACTGAAGGTCGTATGATAGAGGATATTGATTCAGCCTGGCGACAGTTGGAAAACTACGAGAAAGGTTTTGAAGTAAGCGGCAATAACGAATACAATAGATTAGTCCTTCAACATTTCGCAACCGACTTCCCTCTGCATGTACTTAAAACCATTCATAGTATTTGAAGGGCCCTCTGTAGTGTTAAAGCAGTCCACGAAATGAATATAATATGATGTAATAGTCCCAACTGAATATTTTAGTTTCACACTACACTTAGTGTAGTCAGCTGCTTTCATAAATTAGTGATTTTCGGAATCAGAAATGTCTATAAGGTTTTCGGGACCGTTTAACTTTGATTGTTCGGAATACTCGTGTTCGATTTCTTTTTTTATAGCAAAATAATAATGAGTAAGTCGAAGAGTAAATTAAAACTGTTATCCATAAATTTAAAAAAAAACATTGAAAATTAACAGAAATAGGTTCTATCTTTATAACTCATGCTATAAGCTGGTCTCTTGGTTAGATATGTTGGAAGTGGGGAAAATACGCCGGATATTATTTGGTGAGCACTTAGTTTAAGTGATCTGACAGCAATTTAAGAATGTAAAGTACGATTTTAGCTTTGGTCCTTTCCTACTATAAGGCGGGTTCCACTATTGTGTGCATACGAAAAGTGTATGCAAGGAATGATCATCGTTCACGATTTCAGTAATTATTTGAAGCTTAGAAACAGATCATTTTCTATAAACCCTCTCTCATAGCTTATGAGTATTATTAGTTGTATGCGTCAGATGTGGAATTTCTATGAATTAATTTAGATAGTATTAAATGTCTCAGGTGACTGACTGCTTACCATAGCATAGGATCTAAAGACTCAGGATTAGTGAAAATTCTGACTAGCTACAGGTTTTGTAGTTGATTGCTTGGAAATTTATTGTTGATTAATATTATTACATATTTACTTTCTTCCTTTAGTAACTTTTGTTAAATGAATTTCAAAATATTCACCTCTTTGAATTATTTTATTCAACTTTTCATTTGGTGTTTCTTAACTACAGGAATGGTTAGTTTCTGAAATTAAACGTCTTGAACAAATCGAATATTTAGCTAAGAAATTCCATTTAAAATGTTTAACTCATGAGGCATGGACTGCTGGAAAAGATGATGCTCTTTCACTACAAGACTATGAAGGTGCTAGTTTATCAACTTTACGCGCTTTGGCACAAAAGCATGCTGCATTTGAAAGTGATTTAGGCGCACATCAAAACCGAGTAGAACGTATTGTGGCTATTGCTGAAGAACTGAAGTAAGTAGTTAATATTTACTTCACGGAAAACACTGCATATTTTACCTGTGTCTAGCTTCATTGTTGTTCACTTGAATGGTGTTTTAGATGGGCTGTCTAGTGATTGGAATATTTTACCTCCGTTATGCAGAATTTTATTTTGTTTATATCCACCCCTGTGTGCATACATAGATGATAGGCCTATTAAGACAGTAAAGAATAATATGTAGTGTAGTGAATAAAACATTCCAGTGATTCCATTCCCAACTTTTCACTAGTAAAATCACATAATTTTCTAACATTAGTATTGCATACATGACACATGATAGTTTGTCTCTCTGTGTATGGGAAAAATGAGACTTATGAGCAGATAAACAAAATGTGATGTGAGGGTTTCATAAATATCACTTATTAAGGATATTTAAAATGTGGCTTCAAGAATTTGCAAATGACTGATATAATACAAGTGAAACATGGTTTTGGAAGGTGGTGGGCAAGATTATAAATAAAATTCAGGATCAAATGTGGATCAAATGTTGACTCAGTATCGCGCGAATTCACAGAAGTTAGAATACACGAACGACTAAATAGTCCAGGATACGATAACTGGTAGTGATCGGGTGCACACCTATTGATATGTAGTCACATGATGTCTGCTTTGTTTTGACAGTCTGATATATTTGCTATATGTATATTGATCGTTATTCCATTATAACTCACAATATATTTTGTCTGTCCATTAACTAAATAAACAATGTATGACCTTTTGTCACATGACATTACACCAATCAGAATCCAATGGTGGTAAGAAAAACTACTGTCTATCTATTGGTTCATGTATGTAAGTCATTTTCATATAGACTCTTGTATTGTACAGTTAATTCACACTCTTTCACACCTTCGTACTTTTAGTACTTTTCCACTCACATTCTTGTGTGACAGTTAATTTTCCTCGTCGAAAATACACGTATCCATTTGTGAACGTGGTGGTCTTCTGATTGGCCACTTCGCGTCAGGACAAATTAACAACTCAGCAATACCAGTCTGTACGTTATCGCCCGTTATATCTCATTAGCGCATATTTACACTCGGTCACACCAAATATTGGCAACGACCCCATAACTTATTGGCGACGAGTACATAACACCTATAAATAGTCGCAAGTTTGGAAGAAGCGGCTGCCCAGTGTCTTGGGGTTTTGAACTAATGAGGAGTTCAAAACTAGGACGAAATGACCGCCCAGTACTCCCTGGATTTCCACTGGTTCTCCAATTAATGTCAGCTCGTGATCAGACCTGTAGGTAATCAACTCTCTTGAAGATGTTTCAATACTAATCTAGCTGATATTCGTCTGTGACGAAATCTTTTGAAATCAATGAAATTACTGCAAACCAACATTTGAAAATCTGGCTTATGCATACAGCACAAGGTTTCTTTCTGGATGACTGAGATTTCTCACGAATAGTCTCAGATTTCGCATGACGTTCGTCATCGAATCGAAAGTTGCTTGAAACCAGATAGTTATTGTGAACAATTTGTTAGATTGGACAAGTGTTTTGCCTTTGCTTTTACTTACTTGATGTAAGTATAAAATTTTCAAGTATTGGTTTTGTAGGGATTTTGTTTGATTACATGAAGGATTTCTCTAACTGATGTCACCTTATGATGAAATCCTTTAACGCCATAAGTATAAACTTGGGCACTGTGTGACTTATCAAAATAAAATCTTATCCATAATGGAGTTATATTTCTACTTACTTGTTTATTGTTTTTTAATGTTTTTTTTTTGGGGGGGGGGTTGTCCATGAGTTCAATTACCTTGATAAACCCAACTCAGTAAAAGCAGATAAACTGGAATTCTCATGTAATAGAAATGAGATTTTTGCTGTTAAAGAAAATAAGAGGATAGAAATATTCTGCTGTCACTGATTAGTTTTAAAGCATATTGTTCTGAAGTAGATATTTAGATGTTAGCAGATAAATCACTCGATTCTGGGATCAACTTATATCTATGCTGCTTGTGCTTCTTATTTGCACTTACAAACAATAGTCTGCACCTATTTATGGTGATTTATATAATTAAACGTAATCTTCTCAAGTGATGATATTAGCATAAAACCTAATTCAACAAAATAATAATTTTTACAAAATATCTCTTATTTGATTTAGTGATCTTCACTGTTATTTTGACCTTCAATATGTCCTTTTAACCTGACCTAAGTCTATTTTCTCACCTCTTAACTCTTTATTAGTTTCATATATATTCCTATGATAAGTCCGTGTGTGATCAGATTGTTCGAAATGTGTTTCGCAAATACATTACACGTTTCAGACAAATTACATCTTAATGCTTTATCTAAATTCATAAAGGGAAGTAATTGTTTTGAAAAATACCTTGTACTGACTATGAGGTCAACTAAATCGGTCAAACTAGTAGATCAGAAGTAGTGAAATTATCAGAACATAAGAATTTAGCTAAGGTTAGAACGACCGATCCCACGAAGATAAGTAGTTTAGAGAAAAACTCAACAGTCGCACTGCAAGCGTTAACATAACCACACAATAGGATGGAACAGAGTTAAAATTCCAAAAAGTAATATAGGTAGGTGAAGATAGACATTGATTACTGAATCCCGCCTCGTTCATCGAGTCTACACCCAACACATGCAATAAAAGTGACTCAACGCAAATACCAGAGATATGGAAGGTATTATTACCAGTCAGGTCAGAGGATAATAAGTAATGTTAAAATGTATTTCAACTCACATTATAACACAATAACTAGTTACTTATTTTTACTATTTTTATTTCCCGTCTTATTGACTAACAACACTCGTCTTAATTCCCATCCTATTGTGTTTTATTGGCAACACTAATATTATTTCCGAATATACTTTATCTTATATTGGAGACTAGTAACTAGTGTCATGTGTCTAGTCCTTTGTTTACTACAGAATGAATTCTATAAGTTAGGTTTGCAATGTGGTTACCATTTTAGGTAGCTCGCCATCACGATGCACATTGATTTGATGATATTAGATGGCTGAAGGTAGTCGGCAGGAAGCTTTGGATCCAGGTTTCGTGCCCGAATAGCTTCGCGGTAACGTCTCTGACTGCACCACTGGGTGACGCGGGTTCGAGTCTCAGAAGGGACATGAACTCTTTCTTGAACGAATCAATTGAGGTTGCAGACACCACTTCTTCTGGGAGTCGGTTCCAAGAGTTTATGACTCGATGTGAGAACCAGTACTCAACAGCAATATGATTTCTCCTTGGCTTTTGAACTTTCCTGCTATGTCCTCTAAGGTGTTCCGACCTGGTGGGAAGGAAATATAATACGTTGATTTAACTGACAATCTTATTTTTTCCCCTCATGATTCTGTTGCATTATGTTCATTTATATTGATTAGATAAAACGAGAATTTAAATGAATCTTCCACCTATGTAAACACATAATTCACAAATATATTAAATTTATGTAGAAATAAGTAAATATAAATATACTTTTGTTTGAATCATATGGTTCCATTTTTCTTTTTGGTCATCTCAAAGCTGATATTATTTCTGTGTGCAATATTTGCGCCTTTGTTAATACACTTCCACATGTCAGGTGTTATAATATTCTATTGTTTTCTCTTTCTTTCATTTGATTTGAATTATGCCTTGTGAGAATTAAAAATAGGATTCAATATTAAACGTATTCACAATTTGTTTTTATGAGTTGATCATGGATTGATATCAGTTAGAGAACCATTGAAAACCAGGGAGAACTGGATAGCTGTTTCATCCTAGTTTAGCAATCTTCGGCAATACGTACCTACCCACTAGGGTTCGAACCCACAACCTTCCGGTCACAAGACAAGCTCGTATACCATTCAGCCACTGGAACCCGATTCAATGGCCTGTCCATGAATTCTAACTTCTACCAATTCGTGATTTAGCGCGACCACTAACCAGTGTCATTGGTGGGACATCCATCCTCGCACTCGACTGGATGGACCTCACTGGTCACGAGTTCTTACTAGAACTCCAGGAAACATCGCCCTCTAGGTTCTGGGTTCGAACCCTGGTGGTGGGTGTTTACTGCCAATGATTCCCGAAGTAGGATGAAACAGCTGTCCAGTACTACTTGGTTTTCAGTGGTCCTCTAACTGATGTCAGTCTGTGGTCAACTCGTAAAAACGTATCCAATCCTTACAAATTAACTATAGAAAATTATTCATAATTATTCATCCACCTGCCGAAATCATGAGCTGGAAATGAATTTAAAACAGGCAACAAAGGTTAGTGCAGCAGGATTTAATGAATTCATCAAATTCTGGTAGAACTCTTCAGCTGAATACTCTACATACTGCGGTATATACACATATTTAGCGTTAGAATTACATTGAGAAACATAAAACTGATAAATAAATAGAGCTACATTGTATCAATCATGCAAAACGATCGGGGTGAGTGTTTTTCAGGTCATGTTCAGATAGATAAGGGGAAGGGAATATGAAAGATTTGCCAGCAGACAAACAAACAGGAAGAATCATGCAACTGTGGTTTCCGTGTACGGGATTAAATGGCGGTCACTCTGAATCCCCCATGGTAATATATCTAACGTATTAACTATTAATATTATAATTTATTATTACCGTTATCTTAACTCGTTTCAACATTATTATTATTATTTTATCCATTACTATTATTATCACCAGTATTATTCAGTTCGCAATTCTTGATATATTCAAGTTTTTTCTCTGACAACTAATTATTTATTTAAGTGATGTAATTGAACTGTAATGGATTTTATCTTAATCTCTCATATTCCTTTTCCCTCATCTCTCCAAACATGACTTGAAAACACACCCTGATCGTTTTGCATGATTGATACAATGTAGCTCCACTTACTTGTCAGTCTTATATCTCCCACTGTATTGAGCTTGAAGTAGTACAGAACTATTGTAAGCCCTGGAATGATAGTTGTAAATTACGTAATAAGAAAAAGGCACAAACAGCCAAGAAAATTTTTTTCG